GTGTCAAAGAAGAAACTGTACTTGCTCTTTCTCTGCCTGGATTGATATTTCCTGGACTCTTTACAAAACGTGCTCCTTCCCATTCTTTAGAGCAAGCCGCCTCCTCAGAGGGCTCTGCCCGACCACCCCATTGAAAGGGCACCCTCCCCACCGCTGTCCCATCTTTGTTTCCCCCTGAGAAGTGTATTGTTTATTTACTTGTTTACAGTCTGAGCACATGGCTCTGGGTTCTAAGCCTAAATCGGGCCTTTATTAGCACGCTGTGACATGTGGTTCATCTTTATGTGCTTTCTTCATTTGTAAAGTAGAAATAGTGACAATACCTGCTTCACAGGGTAAAACGGGTGCTATGTCAAGTGCTTAGAACAATCCTTGGCACACAGTGAGCATATATGTGTTATTTATTACTATCATTATTTTATAAGGGCTTATACCTTGTCATTTTCTTCAATATCGTATCCTCAATTTCTTCCTAGCACAGTTCTTGGCACATAGTAGGCACTTAAAATTCTTGAATGGGTTGTGACTCAATGAAAGAGGAACTTTCTCATCTTCACCAGCAGGTGACGCACATATGCAGAGAAAAGTTAAAACTGGTTTGGCTTCCACACAACTCTGCCCACAGACGTCGCTTCAGTCCCCGGAGGCAAGGAACCTCGGCCGAACCACCAAAGCAAGTTGATCAGATAGGACCCTGGACAAGTACTGCAGATGGTGGGCCGGAAAACTATAACTGTATTACAAAGTCAAAGTCACAAAGCTGCATTATGTTTTGCATGGTTACGTATTCTAAAGCTGTACTTTCCGTTCTCTCGCTCGATGGAGCAGCTGCAACAAGGAGCTGACCCTGCAGGCATCCACGTAAGGGAAACCTCGGCTCAGTGAGGTGGGGGATTGTGGGTGTCCAAGGGAGTGGGCGTCTGACACACAGCCGCAGGAATCCACAAACCCGTGTGATGCTTCTCCCCCGTGCGGTGGATATCTGCAGGGCAGGGACAGTGCTCACAAATTTTCTCTGTGCACCAGGACTAGGGACCTGAAAGGGTACTGGGCCTCGGGGGTGGGGGGGAAGCTTCTAGTCTGGTGCTGACATTGGGCCAAAAAACCCATCTGTACAAATAAATGTCTGGGGGGGGGTGGTATACCGTGACAGGAGCAAGGGTTGAGGTAAGGACAGGAGACAGCCCTGAGCCGTCCTGTTGCTCTCAGTACAAGGAAGGCATTTCCGGCAGAGTGGGCTGTGTGAGCAAAGGCATGGGGCTTGGAATCCCTGAGCTCAGTTGCTGAAGTCTGAGTAATTTGGTGTGGCTGGAGAACAGTGTTCAAGACGCTGTCTAGTGTGGATGGGGGACAGGGTTGAGGTCAGGGAGTGTATTAGCTGTCTAGTGCTGGCAGACTAGCTCAGTCTAGCAGTCTAGCACTTTTCCTCCCCCACCCGCCCCCACCTGAGGTCTTTTCAAAAGTCATTGGAGTCCAAGGCCCACCAGCCTGGTACAGCCCTAGCTTATTCTTGTCCCCATGTAATTATTAATAGTGGCCGCTTTCACTGTCCAAAGTTGCCTGGTGTGTGTGGTCACATTAGTTAGAGGGTCCCCCCGTGTGCTTCCATTATCACAGCGACCCATCTTTACTGAGGACAAGAGCAGGCCCTGTCCATCTCAGCAGCAGCTCAGCGGAGACAAGAGGCCCAGGGACAATGAGTTTCAGGCCTGGGACCATCGAGAAGGATCCGGCGGCAGGGTTTCTGCCTACGGTAGGCTAGAGCAGGCTTCTGAGGCCTGCTGCTAGGTGCTAATGGAAGCTGAAGAGTCCTCTCCACCCCCTCCTTGTTCACACTTCCGTTTTGCATCTCTAGGCCACCACAGGCTGGGGTCTGCTGCCAGAGGCCAGGAGCCCTGGGGCTGGAGATACAGAGTTAGGAGGTGGGGCAGCCAGGGTCAGATCCTCCGATCCAGACCAGGGCAGGGATGCCCCCAGGGTGCGTCCTGAGCTCTGGATCTGCTCTGCTCCTGATGCCCTGTGTGACCTGGAGGAGGGCTGCTAGGCTTTCTGGGCCTCGGTTTCCCCTCCAGTACAATGAAGAGTTGGTTGAGGTGGTCTGCACAGGTCTGGCCAGCACGGGATAAATTGCCTTGAGGCAGCACTGAAGGAAGGGGGCTGGGCAGTGAGGGAGAGGTGAGGGGGCGAAGGCAGGGACTCTGAAGAAGCCGAGTGCATGATCCCAGTAATATTTACTGCCCCCTCCCCTTCGCCCAGTCTGGGAAAGGCCATGCCCGTACATTAGTCTGCCAGGCAAAGACCTAACGAGGAAGAAGATGGACTGCAGGGAGTGCAGGCAGTGCCTCTGGAGGTCACGACCCAACCAGGACAGGGTGGGGGTTGGGGGGAGGACCTGGAGCCAGCAATGGGCGGGGCTGTCCACGCTCAGTGTCAGACTGGGCCCGGATGGCAGGAGGCAGCTCTGCCCTGTCCACAGCTGAGTCCCCAGCACCCAGCACATAGTAAGGTCTCAGCCTGGGTTTCTGAGTGAGAACAAGACGATTTAGCAGGTCAGGCTGAGCTCAGACTGAGGCCTCGTCCTCTGGACCCCAGCGGGCCCTCGCTGAGGGACACGGGGAGGACGGAGGACGGGGGTCACAGATAAACTCGAGGAGATGGCTCCCTTTGTTTTTTGAGAGGAAATTTCACGGTTTTTACAGGGTCACAGAATTCTGGGGAGTGACATGTTCCTCAAAGTACACAGCTGGTCTCGCGTCTATCACTTTTCTGACGGTTACACGCCTTTTCTCTCCCTCTCCCGCTCTCCACCTGCCTGCTCTCTAGGGGACGTCCTGGATGGAATTTTCCTCCTGGCACTTGGCCCCTGCAGGCCCCTGCAGCCTCTCCCCACCTCAGCCGTCCAGCAGCATTTCTGGCGTGAGATTAAAGGGGGAGGCTGGCCTTGTGGTAGGGCTTTGGCACTGCTGAGGGGGGCACTGAAGGGGGTAGGTGGCAAGAGGGTATCAGGGCATGACCAGCCAGATCCCTCCATCTCTCCTTTCCCTATAAGGGATCTTCTATCGCACCTCTCCACATCCCTGACGTCTCTGCAGGTGGAGGTCCCTCTACTGCCACCCAGTACAGAACGCAGGGGAAGCAGATCCGTCTTACATCCTCCCACCTACTCCCGGCCACGAATGGTCTTCTCCAATTCTCTGACTGACAAGATCTTCCTGCCTGAAGGTCTTTCTCTGTTCTGCAAACTCCTACTCATCCTTTAAAGCCCATCCAAACATGACTTCCTCTAAGAAGTCTCCGCAGGTTGGGTCAGGGTCCTTACACTAAACTTTGAGCTTCCCGGGACTTCTTTTCTCTAAGCCTTGATTAAGTATGACTCCTCCCCTGGGTCGTTCGCTTCTCTGGCGCTGGAAAAGTTGTACTCAGTAGAGGCTGAGAGAATGGCTGCATCTGCAGAGGAGGCAGGGCGGGGGCCCTGGGACCTAGTGATAGTCCCGTAAGACCAAAGGTCACTAATAGGCTACAAGAAGGATGGCAGCCCAGAGACAGCATTTAATGGGCACTAAGGTTAAATGTCAGCTGGCATATGTGAAGCTCTCAATTGTCTGATTTTTGACAACTACCGATTTGATACTTAGCTTAGTAGCAGCTCTCATATAAACTCTCAAAGATGTTTGCTGACAGCGGACCCACAACTAACAGCATGTTTTATTTGCCAGGGCTTATTGCAGCCTTTGGCCATATCATCAGAGGGCACATCTTTGGAACTGGGGAGGTGACCTGTTAAAGACAATTCTCTAACCATGTTAGAGACACAGCCACTACTTTGTCCTGGAGGATTTGCTTTTTGAAGGTCATTGACAGGTGGGGATGCTTCAGAAGAAAGTGATCCCTTCTCATGAGGAATGACGGGGTAGGGGATCTGCTAGGAGAAGATAGGACACCTGCACTGGCCCCGACTCTGCAAAGAGCGGTCCTGGGGCGAGCTGTGCTCCTGGCCCCAAGGCAGAGCTGGGGCTGGACTGTCAGGAAGTCCCAGGCGGAAGCCTCTGGCGCTGAAACCGATGCCCCCGGGAAGAAAGGAGTGAGCACCTTATCGAGAGAGGGTGCTCCTTACTGAGGTGGTTTGGGAGATGGCTCCCGCATTACCTCGGAGGTCCATTTCAATGTTACAAGGCACATATTTTAGGATGATGCAGCCCTAAAATCTGAAATGCCAGCGGTCTGGACTTCTGCCGCATGGTTCCAGGACTCCAAGATCCTCAGTGCGAAACAACCCAGCCTGGGGAACCTGAGGCAGGAGGCAGGCCTCTCAGCCTGGCCCCTCTGGCCCCGCCCAGCTGCCTCCTTGCTCCCACATATTCCAAGGAGCCATTTCATCCACCCCCACATCGAGGCTGCTTCTCCTCCCAGGCTCTCACATACCCGAGGGGACAGTTCCTACACCTCTAGCCAGAAGACTGTGGCATGACAAAGGGTAAAGGGAGTATCGGATAATTCATCAGAGGGATTGATGGCAAAGCAGCAAATAATGAACCATCCTTTTTCTTGTCTGAATTAACTGACTCAGTTTTCTGTGGCTGGAATTCCTCCCTGGTAGCCTCGTGCGATGCTAGCATTTATCAGTCCAACCAGATCCCCCACCACCCCCATCCCCACCGCCGTGATGATGAATGGAAGGGTAAGAGGGTGTAGAGGAAGCACAGGATCCTGCCCTGGCCGTGTATGTATGACCCCATCTCAGAGGATAAAACGCAGCTCTGTTTGGACAGTAGTGCCATCCCAGCGGGAAGTCTATGGGCCGAGCCTCCACCCTGCTCTGTGCAGTCAGAGCCCATTTCCTTTCCCACAGTCCAGGAGAAGACACCAAGGTCCCAAGGTCACCCCACACCTCAGGGAGGTCCAAAATGCCCTCCTAAGTATCCCCTCCAGCCCCTTCAATGCCCAAGGTCGGCAGGAATGACACGGCATGACTTACAAGAGCAGAGTATCGGAGATTATTGCAGACTTTATAGAAAACTGCCCGAGGGACATCAGATTACTGGGGTAGGGGTGAGAAGGTGGGCCTCAACCAGTGTGTCGGAGGGTGACTTCCCGTGTGCAGAGGCAGCACAGGCCAGCCATTCTGCCTGACCGAGGGGTGGGAGTCAGGGAGAGGCACCCACCTCCCCACTCACCAATTGTGCTTTGGGATCATGCAGAAGGCAGGTTGCTGAGGCTCTGACCCTGAACAAAAGGGCGTGTGCCTGAGACAGGAGGTGAGACCCCCTCCCTCTTCCAGAAGGCATGGAGTGGCGGGTAGGGAACACAGCAGCAGGAAATCCTTAGGGGTGGAGACACATGGGTGGGAAACAGCATGTACGCAGCAGCTCCCAGCCCTTCAGAGACCCCTTCCTTACCCCTCACTGAGGCCATGGTGAGGGGGTGACCCTGGTTCTGAGGCCTGACTTGCATCCTCAGGAATCTCCTTTCTCCGTGGAGACCCACCAGTATGGATGAGGTGTGTGGCAACTGCACCTGTCTTGCTGGGCTGGAGACTTCATTTTAGGAGGTAAAAAGGGTGAGCACATTTCAGGGATGGATTCCTCATTGGACCCTGACCTAGTAGTGAGTAGGAGGGGTGAATATTGAGTGTAAGCTACAAATGTGGGTGGAATCAAGAGCCTAAGACTTGGGCAGGGGTTGTAACTCAGATCGGGGGAAGAGCTGAGTCTGAGATTGGGGCAAACACTGAGTGCTAGGGGATCAGAGCCCCAGCGGGAAACGCTGAGGATGGGCTCCACTCTAAGGCTACACAGTGTGTGCAGACAGTGTGCGCCTGTCTCTGGGGTGGGAGAGACCAAGGGAGCTGAGCCCCAAGCAGGGGCCAAAGAAGGGAGGGGCCTGAGCCAGAGCGGGGGTGGGGGTGGTACTAACACACCCTCTGAGTAGGGGAGAGCCCCTGAACACTTCAGAGCCCCAGGACAGGGGTATCTATGCAGGATGGAGGGCTCGGAGCTCTGGTATGAGAAAAAAGGCTCAAAATCCACAAAAACCTTTTCGTGGGAGTGCTCTGCTTCTGAGACCCAAATGGGATGTGAGGGCCCGAGCTGGAGATGGGGGTCCATGAAGTCTAGGGTGCTTCCTGCTGAGAGTAAAGGCTCAGGAAGAGCTTGGTGGATGCAATCTCAGGGCTTTCAGATTTTAGGACAAGGTCTCCGGGTGAGTCTTAAGAGGCCCTGAGGGGAGTTGATGGGTCCGGAGCCTGGGACGGGTGGGTAGGGTTTCTGGAATCAGAAGGTGGGTATCTGGGTCTTTGATGGTGAGAGTTCTTAGAGGCTGGGAAGAAGGGGGTGCAGTTTGGGGTCTCCAGGTGTGTGTGTGGGTGGGGTGGGACAGGAGGTGATGCCAGAATTCAAAGGTCTCAGGCAGGTCAGGGGCAAGTCTCAAAAGCCCCACCAAGCTCACGGGTGTCCCATACCCACTGCTTCAGGCCTCAGCTGGCAGGGGCACCCCCAACCTCGAACAGGCAAAGGTCAGAGGCCCGAGCTCGGGGAAGTGGCGCGGGAGCCGGCGGGGGCGGCTGGGGCGGGCGCACGGCGCGGGTCGGCATCCTGTTCGTAGCGGTAGTGGTAGCCCTCCATCTGGTCCCGGCAGGCCTCACGCAAGTTGCGCATCCAGCGCTGGATGCCGCGGCGGTTTAGGTAGAGCACCATTAAGAAGATGAGGCCGATGAGCGCCAGCACCAGCCCGAAGAAGACATAGGAAGCTTCCAGCTCCGGGCCGGTGAGTTCTACTTCTTCCCCACGACCTTCGGCGTTGCGGTCCGCGCAGAGCAGCTGCGCCTCGTCCAGGTCCAAGAAAGGCCGGTCGTACAGGGGCTTCGGGGCTGTGCATCGCAGGCGCCGTGCGTCGGGGACGCGCTCTGTGGCGTTACGCAGCCAGGCCAGCAGGGGGCGCGCAGCGCAGCCACAGCGCAGGGGGTTGTCGGCAAGCAGTAGGCGCGGCACGGGCAAGTCGCCATCCCGCTCAAGTGCGCGCAGGTCGTCGGGGCCCAGGCCGGCCAGTTTGTTGAGGCGCGCGTCCAGCTGCTCGAGGTGCGGCAGGCGCAGCGCGGCAGACGGCAGGAGACTCAGTGCGTTGTCCGCCAGGCCCAGGAGGCGCAGCTCGACAAGCGGGACGAGCGCGGCGTCCAGCGCGGCCAGCAGCGCGGGGCCGCCCCGCGCCAGCGCGTGGTTGAGCTGCAGCGAGCGGAGCGTCGGCAGCCCGCGGAAAGCGCCGGCGCCCAGGGCGCGCAGCGGGTTGTGGCTCAGGTCCAGCGCCGCCAGACTAGGCAACCCGTCGAAGGCACCGTCTTCCACCACCTCGATGTTGTTGTGTGTGAGGCGCAGAGCGGTCAGTAAAGGGAGGCGCACGCCACCCGCCGCCACCTCCTCCCCGTCCGCGTCCCCGCCGGCGAAGGCGGCAGCGCGCAGCACCGTCAGGTTGGCGCCCACGATGGTGAGGTTGCGCGCGTCGGGCGGCACGTCTCGCGGAGGCTGCCGGAGCTCGGCGCCCGAGGCGCAGCGCAGTAGCAGCTTGGGGCTGCCGAAGCAGTAGCACTGGAAGGGACAGGGCGCAGCGGGCTGGCTCAGCGCTGCCGCCACGAGCAGCAGCCCCGGTAGCAGCGGCCCCCTTGGCTCCGGCTGTCCCGCGCGCGGGGCCATTGCAGCGGCCCCCGCATCCAGCGTCCGGGCCGCCGCTCTCACCAGTGAGTTCAGAGCGCCTTGGGGGCGGGGAGGGGGGCGGGTGAGGCAAGTCCTTGACCTGCAGATGCTGGCAGTCGCGGTCGGTCCGTCCACTGGCTGTAAAATCCGAGGAGCCTTCCCTTTCCTGGCTGGCGCGAGAGGGGTCAAGCGGGGAGCAGAGCCCCCCGCCCCCGGTGCCCTACTCGCCCTGCGCGCTGGCCTCCGGCTTCCGCGGCCGTTCTGGGCTTGGAGCCGAGTGGGCAGGGTTTGCCTCCCCCCCCTCCCCGCCTCCCAGCCTCCTCCTCCGCCCCCAGCGGAGTCTCCGCGCCCTCCTCGCAGAGAGGCGGGGTGGGAGGCTACCGACAATCTGGGCTTTTGGCTGCTATGCTTTCTCTCTCCCCTTCTCGGGCTCCGGGTCTGCTGAGAAGTTTGGCTGTCCCAGGTTCTCAATGCCTCCTCTCCTCCACTTTCCATGTTTAAGCTGGTTCCTTCCTCCCTCTCTGGCACCTGTGGGGCTGGGCCGGACTGTGGAGAGCAGGCAGGTGGGGTCAGCACCACAGAGTGAGAATTTGGGGGAGACCTTTAGCGTCCCCCCTACAAGCACAAGCAGTGATGAGGGGTGGGCTGAGAAAGTTACTCATTTTTCAGGCTCTTCCTAATCTCTGTGATCTAGGAGAGAGCTGTGCAAGGAGAGACTGGAAAATCCCCAGCCTCTGGCCCCCTCCGCTTCGACCCCGGTTACATTAGGGCTGCCTGGGTTACCACCACTTTGAGTTTAATAGGAGGAGCGTTTTCCTGACCCTGTCCCACCCCACCTTCGAAAATCAGGGATGTCCCCTCCGCTTCCCCCTGGCTCCCAACTCACTGCCTGCTAAGCCAGGAGTTCTTTCATCTGGTCCCCGCCACTAGGCTGGACTCTTCCTTCCAACCGCTTTCCCAGGCCTTGGGACCAGTGAGTGTGGTGATTCAGCTCTTTTCTGTCCCCTCCCTGCCCCAGTTCCGACGCAGACACCCCACTAGACTGTACTACGGGGTCTCAGGACACTGGGTTGTTGGACACCATCAGCTGCCCCTCCTTCCCTCCATGGTGCCCCACCTATGAGTAATGAATGGGTGGAGGACTTGGGGCTCCAGTGGTGGGAGAACAGGAGCAGATTTTGCAGCATGGAATATGGGGAGTTAAGCTAAGGGAGTTCAGGGATGAGCTGTTTATGGGTTTGTTTAGTTCTGGGTGGATTTTTTTTCCAGAACTGGGAAGCTCCAGACCTGCCTTAAAGGAACAGGCTCCTGAGAAGGGAGCACTCCTGGCCTTGACATGAATTATTCAGGCTGGAGAGACAGACACTTGATCCTGCAGGCCATTCTGGTATCAGCAGAGCTGGTTGGGATAGAGGCTCCCCCACCTAAGAATCAGTCCGTCTCTTTCTCCTGAGTTAGGGATGATTGTTGGGTTGACTCCTTCCTTGAGGTTATATTTAACAGATCAATAACACTTAAGGAGAAGAGGCAGACCCTGCTGCGGCTTGGGTCTCTGGCAAGGACCAATATTAAGGACCAAGGCTGTTGGTGCTGGGATGGGGGGATGGGGAGGGGGAGCTGGTCCTTCCCTCTCTCTCCCAGGTATTGGCAGATGAGAACAGTAAATTGCACATGCATGACTGGGTGTGTCTGCACATATGTGCATGTGAGGTTGTCCATATGTCAGTACACACAGATTCATACTTGCTTGAATGTGCACATACATGCATAGGAAAGCTTGCATAAACTTGTGCAGGGTTCTGGGCAGGCTCAGATGTGCCTCATGCAAGCACATGAAGGTTCATTCACACATGTGCACATATGTGTCCCAGAATCATAAGGACATTCATATTTGAACATTCATGCTTCAGGGCCCATGCAGGTTCCTGGGTGTGTTCTGGGAGGGGTAGGCGTACAGACCCATGCATGCAAGCATATGCACCCAGAGACCGGCCAACACACTCTGAGCCCACTCCTGCCCTCCACCTGCCCTTGGTCTGTGGAGGTAACCAACTGTGGTGTCTTTTCTCATACAGCCTTTGGAGCTGGGCCCTCACTCAGCCCTTGTACTCGCCCCCAGCCCTGGGCCACGTCTCCTCCAAGCCCCAACCCTGACATTTCCCCCCAGAGGGAGGGACTGGCTCTTCTTCCCTGTTGTGTTTCTACCACAGGGGCTAGCACAAGGCAGTGTACAGTAAGTGTTTGTAGGCAAATGAAAGACTGACTGAATGAAAAGGTCTCTGCTTCCCTGTCCCACTGCATAGAGCCCCTTTTGCCTGCAGCCTCTGAGGACTCACAGTCTAACTGCCAAAGTAAGAGCCCTCTCCCCAGATCCCCATGGTGATTGGCTCCTGGTGGGCTGATGCCCCACCCCAACCACTAAAGGGCTGCAGGGCAGTGGGCAGCCTTGATTGGGGAGTGCTAAACACCTCAGTAGGGAAAGGAAGACTTAAAGAGAGCTAAGAACCCTTAGGCACCAAAGCACAAGGCAATGATAGTGTTTTATAAATGGGGAAACTGAGGTCAGAGGGCCAGGAACTTGCCCCAAAGCCAGTGGTTGTCAGGGCTTTGCCTGGTAACCTGGCCCCAGGGTCCTTGCCCAGGGCTTTGTGCAAGGTAGTGGCTGCATCTGAAAGGCTCCAGCACCACCAGGAAATTTCATCCTGGCCCCAGGGAGCTTGGGGCCAGGAATGGATGCTAGGGTGGGGCCGGTGTGCCCTTGGACCTTTCTCTGCAGCTGCGCTGTCAGCATCTACTGGAAAGTAGGTGGGCTTCTGAATTCCTGTCCTTCCTAGTCCTCTCAAAGCTGTTGTGATAAAGTAAATGGAAAGTGCTTCAAAACAAGAAAAGCCATGTCACCTAGGGTCTGGGGGCCTAGCACCCACCCTGCCACGCTTTCACCCTGTGGCTCTGGATGAGGCATCGCCCCTTTCTGGGACTAACTGGCTCCCGTGTCATTTTTGCCTCGTTTCCTCTTCCTCCCTGCCCCACACAGCACATTCATGACAGGTAGTAAAAATCACCACTCGCTGTCTGGCTGTATGCGTCTGCCTGGCCTCCTCCCCACCTTCTCTTGGTTCCCTTCTCTGTCCAGGTGGCCTCTGGAGCCAAGTCTGTTCTCTGGAGGAACAGCCCTGTCCATCTTAGGGCTGTCAGAATTCAGCATATGGTAGGCACTCGACATATGTATGTCTGGTTGCATTTGAGGCTATGTGTTTATTCCCTGAGGCATCCAGTGGAAGTATCTTTACTCAGACTGTTTGTCCCACCAGGGGTGCTCCCTCCCCTGGACTCTTCTCCAGTCCAACCCACTGCCCCTCAGGGCTCAGCTTGAGTTCTGCCCCCTCCAGGAAGCCTTCCTGGCTCTCTTCTCTCCTTCTTCTCGGTCAGAGGGTTAGAGCTGCCCTGCAGCCCCTGATTGTCAGCAGCCGGGGCTCAGGACCAGTCTGACTCCCTGTATTGTCAGCACACCACTCAGAGCTCAGCATGGAGAAGGCAGTAGGGAACATTTATGAAATGAAATAATGATTTAAACATCTCTGGCTTGATCACCCCAGCCCTGTGAGGCAGGCTAGGTGAGGATCCCCCCCCTTACACCAGAACACACCGCCCGGAAAGGTTAAGTGCTTTTCCCCATGTTTGCAAAGCCGACTGACCTGGAGCCTGACAGAAGCTCAGGTTTCCTGTTGCCTCCTTTGCCCGGAGCCTTCCCCATCTTCCTAGGCGCTCTCTGGGGGGTGTGGCTGGGTCAGGTCCCCTGGGAGCCTGTGGGCAAGGAGCTCAGGCCCTTCAGCTTTCCTTTGGACTCAAGGAGTGAGTCACCCCAGCCGCATCCTGTGCTGGGCTGAGAATCCCCCATGTCAGCTACTCTGGACCCCAGTTCCTGAATTTATTATCCCACTTGGCCCCAGAGCCCCTCTCACCACTCCGAGGTGCTACTCCCTCCCCTGTTTCAGCTCCCCCACGGGTTCTTCTCACCCCACAAAGGCTGTGTCCCCTGTGAGGTCCACTTCCTTGGTGGGAAGCCTGGAGAGGTTTGGCAGCTTCCGGAGGTCACCCAGCAGGTAGCCCGTTCCCCATCTTTCTCCTCCAGTTTGTCCCTCAGAGGGGTGTGTGGCAAGTCTGCCTTTCCAGATCTAAGTTCCCCTGTCTGCAAAGAAGAGAGAGAGTGTGTGTCTGTGTGTGTGTCCATGTGTGTGATGGTCTTGGAAGGCTTTTGAGTCAGTGCCCCTTGACCTTTGACAAATGGGGGTCATAGAAGGGGAGGTAATACTATGACTTGCTGGAGTTGGTGCCCCATCCTTCTCAGTGTGTGACCTTGAACTTGGCTCTACCCCAACTAGAAAGCAGTGACAGGATAGGGGGCTCTCCCCAAGGTGATGCTGTAGCAGCCTCCCTTCCCTCTGCTCCCCCTTCCACTGAGGCCAGCGGAGGAGCAGCTGGGCAGGGCTGACAGGATGGAGCTCAGTCCTTCGGTAGTGGGCCAGGCCCCAGGTTCTCTCCTGCTGTGTCGCTTCCTCGCTGGCTGGCGGGAGGGGAAGACTCCACTGCGGGCTTTACTGTTCCCATTTCTCACTCCCCCTCCCCCCCACCGCTGTGAGACATGGAAAATCCATAGCCCCAAGATCCATTTTCTCCATTCAGACAGAGAGGCCACACGGACTCCGGTGGGGGGGTCAGGGGGGGACAACTGGCTTTTAAATAACTCTGATGCTTAATGGGCATCCTGCTTCACTCTGCGGCCTGGGCCTCTGGGGAGAGGCAGAGCGAACGAGCTGGGAGAGTCCCCTGAAAGTCGTGAGCGCTGCTGCCCTCACCTCGGCTCACCGTTCCACCCCGCCCCAACCTAGACTCCAGGCTGTGGGGACAACCCGTGTCCTTACTACCTTTCACAGTGCTTCACTGTTTCTGAGTGCTGTCCCAGGCTGGATCTTCTATCCCTGCTTTAAAATTGGAAACCGAGGTCCTGGTCCTTGGCCCACTGCTGGCGGCTGTGCAGCTGTGAGCAGGTCCTGCTCCTTTCTGGGCTTCAGGGTCCTCATCGGCGCTCCAAGGTGGGCCAGCTGGTGGGTCGCCACTGGTCACTTCAGCTGTAAAATTTCATGAGTTGTTGCCCTGGTCTAGATCTCCTCTCACACAGCTACGTTTTGCTTCCATGTGCTTCTTCTTGGAGAAGCTAAAGGACAGAGAAGA